TTTTGCTATTGGTGTCGTTCCTGGTAACAAGTCAATACGGAATTCTACTTGTCGATCAGGCGGTAATCCGGGAAGATCTTCGGGAAATACTTCCGGATAATCACACACGACAGGAATGCTCTGTATCACCTTCTTTTCCTTCTTAGCATCGATCACGAATGCTAAATATGATGTACATCCCTTGGTCAAACATTTTCTGGCTTTCATTAGAGAAATGATTCCAGAATTTACCCTGCGTTTGTCCCCATACACCATAAACGACTCTTTCCCAGGCGGGTTTACTTTTACGATCTTCTTTTTGCACAGTATTTCCGCATCATTGGTGCTAAGCCAATCCATTCCCAACACGATGTCGAAACCGTTAAGTTCGATAGGCAATAATTCCTCGTGAAACTTATTCCCGTTCAAATCAATTAAGATGTTTTTCATACGATGGCTAACAGGTACAAACTTGCCACTAGCAACTTCGACTAATAAGGCATTATCTAGTCTATCGACAGGCAAAGCTAGCTTTCTACCAAATTCATGCGAAATAAAGGAGTAGTTGGCTCCAGAATCAAATAAAATTTGGGCAGGCAATTTGTTTACGAGAAAGGTACCTGAAGCGACATCAGCTTCTTCCTTAGCAGCTTCCAGTGTCATCTGGAAGGCTCTAGCCTTCGGCTTTGGTGGAATGTTGGGTCTTCCTGCTTCCTTCTTCTTCGGGCAGTCCCTCGAAATGTGCCCCTCCTCGTTGCACTCATAACAGACCTTCTTAGTGAATGTGCATTCATTGGCATAGTGCCCAGGCTTCCCACATTTGAAACAAGTGACCCCTCCGTCGCACTTCCCAGAGTGCTTCTTCTTGCACTTGTCACACCACTTCACTTCGCCTCCTCCACCTCCTTTCGAACTAGACTTTGAGAATTTACCCTTTTTGCTGGACCCCGAGGGTCCGTCAAACTTCCTCTTCTCACCAACCTCTGACCTTTCCAGACCTTTCTCCCTGATCTGGGTCTCAACATTTCTGGCAGCCCAGATGGCGGCTTTCAACGTGGTTGCTTGCTTAACCATTGGACCATAGTCCGCTGGTAGTCCAAGGGCAAACTTATTGACCTTTGAGAGTTCTGTTGGAACTAGGTATGGGATAAGCTTCATTTTCTCCGTGAAACTTGCAGCGTATTCAGCAACGCTCATCTTTCCCTTCTTCAAATTCTGAAACTCGTTATTGATTTCCAGTAGGTCCTGCTCTGAGCAGTATTGCAGTTTCAGTTGTTCCACAAAATCTTCCCAAGACATTTTACTCGCTTCTCCCTTGGGCATAGAGTCAGCTAACAGCTTCCACCAACTCAACACGCCAGATTTCAACAACGGGATCGCAAGAGCGGTCTTCTGCCTGTTGCTGCATTCGCAACTTTCAAACATTGTCTCCATTTCGGAGATCCAATCCATAATTTGCACCGGCGTCGGGCTTCCGGATAGACACGGTGGCTTAGACGCCATAAAATCCTTGTATTTACATCCTCTTCCATCATTTCCTCCATTACGATTGCCTTGTCTAACAATTTGTGGGTTGTCTTGACCAACGGTACCACTGAAGTTTCCACCTTCCGATGGCCCTCCATTCACTTCGGGCTCTTCAACTTGGATTGAAAGTTCTTCACGATTTTGTCGAAGCAGACGTCTAGTTTCTTCCATCTGATTATCCAACATCGCCTGAATCATCAATTGTACACCAGCCATCGTTACTGGCTCAGGTGCTGCAGCTACAACAGGTATTTGCTCAATTACAGGTGGTCGATTCCTGTTTTCGTTTGCGTTTCCAGCTCCACTGCGGGTTCTTGCCATTTTGATCTATACACCGAATAAGGTGAATTTAGATCTTTATTCGGGATAGACGTTTAAATCATCCTTATCTCTCCGAAACGTTTACATGTTAGTTCTAATATCGTAGTTGTACGTTTAGAATCCTAAACACATAAGGTTTCCAGATCCGGTCGGCAACAGACCATAGATCCGAACAAATAACAGCATATAAGGCATAAATCATTTAGCACATAAAAGCATTTTAGGCACAATTCCTAAAATAAGCTAGTGCTCACACCTCACAATCATTGCTTAGCATTCTAAGTTTAAGTCTAGAAATCCTACAAATTCCTAGTTCGCTTAAACTAATGCTCTGATACCAACTGTGACATCCCCTTTTTCACGGCCAGAAAAGACCGATTTTGTTTATGCTTTGTTTAAAAATCAGAGTAACATTTTAAATAAAAGTGTTGCGGAATTTGTTCCCAAAATAAAATATGATAAAGATTTATCAAAGCATTTCCGTAGAAATGTATTTCATTAAAAACCTCGGGATGTCATGTTCAATACAGATCAAAAGCATAAACAGTACAATATAAGCCTTACTACATTTATTCATATCTACATGCCTATATCCGTAATCTCTCATCCCAAACATCATATCTATGCTCGTGCGCCACTACCTGTAATACAAGAAACTGAGTGGGTCAGGCTTGGGAGCCTGGTGAGCACATAGGGTTTTCAACCCACAATAAATAAGTTTATTAATTTCATCAACCAACAATAACCCGATTACCCGTTCCCGTTATCCTCACATTACGTCCCTAAAACACCTATCATAAGGGACCTAGACTAAGGATCAACATCGGGATGGACACTACTGCCAAGGGGTTTCCTCAGCAATAAATGTCCTAAAGGCAACCATGAGGGGGATGGAGTACACCGGTGAACACATCGTTCACAAACACCTACAGGTTGCGAGCCTGCTAGCGTTCCACTGGACTGTCTAGAAGAGTCCGTGGTCGTCATCCATACTCCGCTAGATGACAGAATCAACAACAACAACATCGACGCCTCTCATCATTTTATCACACATCGTCTTATTACATCTACCCATGTTTTACCCCAACATTTTTTTGTAGATATAAAATACATATACAGTTTAAATTATTTAAAACATGTATAAAAATCTTTCATCAGCATAGGCAGCAAGTATTCAGATAATATGCACACATAGCACGTAATTAATATAAAATACTTCATATCTATGTGTAAGATGAAAGTAACTATGCACTCACCTGATTAGGTGGTGACTCGGTACTCGAACAGCACTCCGTTATCTCAAAACAATTTTTCCTTGATCAAAACCTAGTATTAATACCACTAGCGTTTAGTTTTAACGTTAACCGCGACTAATTAATAGTCTGGCTATTATTATTATTATACAAGCGTTAAATAACACTCAATATATAAATAATAATAGCCCAAATAATTATTTTAAGGACCTAATAACATTACTATAATTATTTAAAAGTTATATTAAAAATTTCGTAGGCGTACCTTACTTACAGCGGTTTTTTTTCTCAAAACCGGGCTTCGCTGGAGCAGCGTTTCCGAGCCGAAAGGTTCTTTTCTCGGGACTCCGGGAGCCTCGGGACTTCCTTCGGGTGCTAGGGGGTTTACCTAGACTTTAGGGGCTCAAGGGAGCTTAGAGAGAGAGTTTAGAGAGAGAAAGTGGAAGAGGAAAGGTGTAAGAAATGAGAGAACCCGACACTTCTATTTATAGTGAGTTGGGGCATGTGGTGGCCTTCTGGTGGTGCCACTTGTCCAAATTCTGGTGGTGTCACATGTCCAATTTCTGGTGGTGCCATGTGTCCAATTTCTGGTGGTGCCACATGTCCAATTTCTGTGGTGCCACGTCACCCAATATCGTGTATCGGCCTCCCGTCTTAGAAAAATCATAACTCTCGCATACGAGCTCCGTTTTTGACGTTATTTATATCCACGCGAAGGCGGGAATGTAATCTACAACTTTCGTTTAGACTCCGTTGGCTAATTTTGAATTTATTTTAAAAGTTATATTTTTAACAGGCCGGGACATGATTGGTCCGTTAAAAATTCATAACTTCTTCATCCGACGTCCGTTTTCGTCTGTCTTTTTATTGTTACGCCACAATTAAAGAGCTCTTCGATTCTCGTTTAGGTCGTGTCGGCTAAAAACTCGCTTTATCATAAATTCACTATTCACGCTTCCCGGTATCGTGCCGGTTCCGACGTGAAACTTCGTCGGGTCATAACTTCTTCGTTATAACTCGGATTTCGGCGTTCTTTATATCTCCGGAATCCTTGTTTTGACCACTACAACTTTATGTAAAGATATCGGGCTTATCTCATATTTTAATTTTGACGCTTATTTTTATTCTTTATTAATTATACATTTATAATTAAATAATAAGCACATAAATTCACAAAATATTCAAATATTTCATTTTTATTACATCAAAAGAGTTACAATAGTTGACCTAGACTATTACATCGTCTAAAAATGCTTAGCCCTGAAACCCGGACGTTACAGTATAACATGTATGAGATGTGTGTCATATGTGCTCAAATGGAGTGCCGAATATACCCATCAATGGTTATATTTTAGGTTGTTGTGTTTGATATTTATCTCATAGATAGAGTTATGGATGACAATTTTTATTTGGATTTTAAATAATTTGTGTGTAGTTTATATTTTGTATGACAATTTGTATGTTTTTATAATTATTCAAAAACTATATCCATCACTGAATAGAGTAGAAGGGTAAAATAGTAATTTTTCATCAGTCAGCACATTCAGTCTGATGTACAATCAAACAACATGATTTCTTACTCAGTCAAAATTTATTACCTAGACAAACATTTCTCAATCAACACTTTCTCGGTCAGCAACTATCAAACGGGACCTTAGTCTTTTTACATTGATAATAACGGACCCTAACATATGGTAACAAAATCCCAAAAACCAATGGTGATACCAAACAGTGAAATAAGGACCATGATAAAATGCCAATACTAAGACCAAAAGTGATTTTTTATGCAAACCTCAAGGACCTAAGTTGTATTTTACTCGATATTTTATAATGGTTCCGATCCTGACCCATATTTTAACCGGGTTTTAAAGGAAATAACACTTTTATCTTTTATCGCCCTCTTTCGTCACTGTGCCCTCCATGTGGCTCGTCTGTACTGTAGTACCTGTACCTCTCCAAAACACTTACTTTTTCATAAGTCTCATCGCTATAAAGTTTCATATCCTTCTCTAATCTAGGGTTTCCTGTTTCTTCAATCCGATCAACCATCACCATATTTTCTCTAATCGAAGCTCTCTTCTATCATCTATGGCGTCTAAGGTACGTTGTTAATACGTTTTTTTTCTTTATCTTCGATTGATCCACTTCCACCACACCAATTACGAATTGAACGTCTTTGAGGTAACAATCTAAGGAAGATAGTATTGAACTGAATCCAGTCAATATCCAATTGGAAATCCTGAATTCAATTTATATAGATCCTTTTTCGAGATTTGGTTTCCGTAATTTGATCTGGATTTGAGTTCGGGAGTCTGGTGTTAGCTCTTTTGTTACCTTCGTTTGAAATTCATACACGAGCAGTATATTTTAGTTATGGATTTCGGGAGCGAGCGTTCAGTGGAGGATAATGAATTGGTAGAGACCGAAGGGTTGGAAAAAAACGGTGAAATTGATACCGAACTGAAAGATAATGGGAATTATGATGCTGAAATCGTGGATGTCATTAAAACCGAAGGTACTGTAGCGAACACAACAGAGATATTGCCGGGAGGCTCGATAGGTTCGTCGCCGTCGCCAGCCACGAAAGGGCGAGGATTACGGAAATGGCGGAGGATTCCTAGAGAAGCTGGCAAGGAAACGAATAGTAGTTTAGATAGCAATCGGAAGAGAGGTATGATTGGTTTACCTAACGCCATGAAACAAAGGAGTGAAGGATCTAGTTCATCAACAAACGCTATGTCACATGCTCTCGATAATCCTTTAGATCATAATCTGCTTTACGGAGATTTAGGACGTGGATCTGATTTTGCTTCTAGGGCAGATTCCGACAACAGCGAGGATCAAAACAGCAGATCTTCCACAGCCGCTAGTGCTCCAAAACCTAACCACAGGTTTCCTGTAGCAGGTATGAAGAGCTCGAATGGGAAGAATTCAGGTGGTATATCAGTACAACCTGGTGATCAACCGGAGAAAAATCAAAATCAAACCAAGAAGCCAAGAGGATTCAAACTCAAGAAGGAAAACTCCATTTCCAGTATGGAATCTGACTCCAGAAGCTCAAACTTTGTATTCACACAGGGTTCTAACTCTGTAACAAGCAATGGTAGAAAGAATGTCAAGTTGGGTAACTATGAGGAAGATTACAGTGATGATGCTGAAAATGGTGACAGACAAACTCAAACTGCATTCAACAAAAACGAAGCTGATTCTGAAGATGTTTCACATGAAGATTTAGCAGCTGAGAACTCTTGGGAAGTCAAGGAAGAAAAGATTAATGGTGATCATGACACTCTGGTAGATTCTATCATTCCACTCCATTTGGCTCAAGAAGCACTTGAAAGAGGTAATGTAACTTTTCCTCTAATCATCATTCACAATTAAACTCCATCTTCATCATCATCATTATTATTGCTTACAGAAGTCCAGAAATTGAGGGATGTTGGTAAAGAAGAAACATTCTCTTCTGACGACTCCTTCCAATCCAGTAACAATAAGATCGAGGAGGCTCGGGTTATGATCGAGCTCAAGAACGCAAAGATCTTTGAGCTTGAATCGATCTTGAATCTTGGAGACATAAAGAAAGATTATGAAGAACTATTGATGCAAGGAATCGCAGCTGAGCTGGAATATCTAGTCATCTTAAAAACAATCCAAAACTTGAAGGAGGGTCACATGGATCAAATCAATAATCTTATGGTACAGCAAAAGAAGCTAGAAGTAGACGAAAAGGTACAAGTTGAAGAAGCATGGAAATTGAAAAATAGGGTATGGAGATATGGTTTGTGTTTTATGATTCAGTTGTTTTTGCTTCTTGTTGTTGTGTATGTATTTGTTTTGCAGTTTTCATCCCAAAATAAGGTTATACCTACATAATTAGTTAAAATTAAATTTCCATTTTGTTTAGATATTGATAGACTATATATATAGATCAGGGGGTGATCTTTTGTTTGTAATATGACTTTTTTTTAGCTGTTATTAATGTTTCAGTTTTGTTTGGTAATTTTTGTTTCAGACTTATCATAAAGTGTTGCCTTACATAAAATTATTTTTAAAGTGAATGAACTTTTTTGAATGAGTAAATAATCAATTTTATGGGCTGTTTGATAATGCTTATTACTTGGTCGATATCACTCGATCAGATTCAAATTGTTTGATATCATTAAATCTTTTACTCGGTTTTCAATTATGACTTCTATGAAATGCCTTTTATTCGGTCGGGTTGGATATGAGTCGGTTAGATTTAGGCTGTTTGATATCATTAAGTTTCCGACTCGGTCCTGGTTTCTCTGAAATGCCTCTTATTCGGTCAGATTCAAGGTTGAGTCTACTTGGTTTGATTAAGTCGGATCAAATTCAATTAACTATCATACGTGCAACCCTTTACCCTTTTTAACACCAACAAACAATTCAAAATGGCGGCTAAATAAAAAATCCAAAATAGTAGGCATTGTAAATGAATCATATATGATCAACACGCCATGAAAGAAAATTGAATGGATGGCATATAACATAAACAACTTGTAAATAGGTTCAAATCAAATCATTTTTTGTTGTTATAATCGGTTGCCTTAATCACTATCACTATCACTATTATTGTCATTGTTGTTCTGATCCAAACTATTGTCTTCCGATGAAACCTGGAGAAAACTACGACAAACCATGACTATTGATCTATCGAGTTCTAATGGCAGAATTTCCAGCCAATCACAATCAGTGTGACCCTTCAAATGTTGGTAAAGGTGCTTTGTGTATTGAAAAGATGTTCCACACATGTAACATGTGGGTATATCATCATCAGCACATGGAAAATAATATCGGGTTTTTTGCATCATCTGCAAAATCAAAATTTTTAACTCATATCCATATGAAATTATGTCACTTAAAACACAAAGACAAAACATGGAAACATTCGTCGAGTGGTCTTTCTATATATAACTAAATTAGGAGGAACTATCACCAAGGATCCTTGGCGCAATGGTAGCGCGTCTGACTCCAGATCAGAAGGTTGCGTGTTCGATTCACGTAGGGTTCAAATCCTAAATCGGGTCCTATTTTTGAAACCTTTTTTTACTTCCGAAATAATATATTGATGTTGAAATCAACTCTTGATTTTTGATATTGTTCATTAAGATTTAAGAAACGATGTACATTTATAGAACATATTTAGATGAATTTTATAATCACACCTAAAACAAATCGACCTCTATTTAGACACACTACCTCAATTGATTCGATCAATCAATCTACTTAGAAACAACTTTTAATAACTAAAAATAATTCTTTCAAATTTCAATGAAGGGTTTTAGAATTTAGGTCGAATTTGTACCTGAAACTCGATATATTCTCGATCAAACTCTCACAAGTTTTCCAAGTGTTTTAGGATTTTGGTTCGATATCTCCTTAAAGATTATTTATAACCATGGGTTTAAAAGATAAACTTGAAATCGAGCCTCAATCACATCGCATAAGGAAACAAATCATTCGGGAATAATTCCCATTTTCTAATCCAATTCAAGCTAATTTTTGCTATTCGCAAATTACAAAAAAACCCCTCAGACATGTTTTATTTTTGTATATATCTTTAAAATATAAGAATTTGTTATTAGAAAGATTTTTTATTGAATTTAGACATTTAGTTGTCTATTTGCTTAACAACGGCACTCTATGATGGAACTAATATGTCATGAATAAATGGACTTAGGCTATGGTATTAAGTCTCAAAACTCTAATATATGATAGATATCATGCCTTTCGAAAAAAAATCGAACTCCTTATATATCATAAAATGATAGCTTATTTTCAATGTCTAAAGAGCAAATTCCCCATAACATGTTAATATCTTCGGTGGCGGACGCATAAAGTTTAAGTAGTGGTGACACCCAAAAAAAAAATTCCGAACAAATCCAAATTAATAGTGACACCGGTATTTCAAGACGTTGCACCTAATAGAAAAACAAAAAAAATTTACACTAATTGCCAGAATCAGAGCAGTCGCCCGGGACCCCCGGGGCCCACTGATCTTCATACTTCCTTCTAGATCGCAAAAATGATTGCTTTTGGGAAAGTAAAAAATATCATGAAATATCTTTTTTTTCTTCGGAAATTGTATTGTCAATGTCTCTGTCACCATATGTGAAAGTGTTTGTTTTTAAGGCGTAAAGGAGCTCGCTTATAATCTTGTCAACTTGTGTTGCTTTCGCATGAGGGGCACACCAAACAAGACAAGTTTGGTGAGCTTTAAGGCCATAGGATATATACATAGCACAAGGGTCTCGTGGTTATAAGTTGGAGAAAGACAACGAGCATACACACCATCCCAAAAGTCTCATGGTGATCCGAGCCATGATCATGGCCTCATGTGGTGTATACCATGAAAGACCACAGTCATTCAACTCTCTTCTTTTATGCTCCTCTCTCTCTTCTTCTTTCTTCTCTGTTCCTTTCTCTTCTTCTCATTGCAAGTGTTCCTTTCTCTTCTTCTCATTGCAAGTACGCCAACTAATGGTGTGGAAGAAGATGATGGTGAGGTGTACTGTTTGGATTGTAACCACATTTTAAATGAGATGGTGGTGAGGTGTAGTTGTTTGGCGTGTCCACCATATTCCACACCATTACCTAAAAGAGTAATATTTAATTGGATTGTTAATAATAGACTATTATATATAAAGCCCTCACATTTAATTTACAAGTCATATTAACATAAAATATTACGGAATAAAATATGTAGATAATTATTTGATATTACGAAAAACAATGAAACCATCACGTATATATTTATAACTTATAAGCCATTGCTAATGTGTCTACCTACCTAGTACCTAGTATCCCTGTGTACATATCTACGTTTTTGGTTATCCTACCATTTTCCATGCAGCACTCAAATTAAGCAATCAATATACGAGTAGTTACGCCTTCTTCCGTATTCTAGAAGACTCCCATAAGTCCGGTCCCACACGCCAATAAAAAGCGATTCGGTGTCGGGACTAAAACACGCGCCCGATATTTCACCAAAAAAATCGATTTCTTGTTGTTTTTGGTATCCATTTTTGACATCAAAAACATGGACAAAATCAGCTGGTTCGGCCATAGCCATGAATTGGCCATCGGATGAGTAGCGAATTGACCGAATTGCCCCCAAGTTGGCCTTGAGAGTGGCTATTGATTCGGACAGGTGTCGTACATCCCACACCCGGCATGTTTTGTCTTGGTTGCCTGTGGCAAATGTGTTGCCGTCTGGATGCCATGCTGATGCAAATGAGAAATCCAGGTGTCCTTTCAAAGCTGCAACCCTCTGCAAAAAAAACAAAAAGGTCAAATTTTACATTTTTGGTCCCGCGAGTATAGCTGGTTTTTTCAAAGTTTTGGTTCCAACAAGTCTTCTCTTGCAATTTTGGTCCCTATTCCAAAAATCAGATATACTTAAAGGACCAAAGTGTAATTTACTCTAATGGAAAAAAAAAAAAAAAAAAAAAAAAGTAAATAATTAGATGTAAGAATATGTTGAAAGTAAAAAACTTGCCTTCCGGAGGTGGAATCGAACAAAATTCCTTCAGGATTGTCTCCCACGATTACAAAAAGCTTGCCATCAGGGCTGACTGATGTATGCTGCATGCATAAATGAAGTTTCAAGTTTATCACATTGGAATCAAAGTTTCTATCCACTATTTGGTTACATGGAATGGAATGTATAATTATGGTCAATGATATTGTTTGGTAGGTAGGTGTGTAGGAATAGAAAAAAAATTTACATCAACAAAACCGAAGGAATCAAATTCCAGTGGAATGAACGATTCCGATTCCGATTCCGATTCCTAATAGTAGTAGATAGAATAAGGTACGAAACAAAGGGAGGAAAAGAGAGTGTATACATTCACAGGCCAAGGAAACTGGAAGTGCTTAGACATCTCAAACTTTTCCATATCAAAATCCCGGACCCCACAATCATTATTCGAGGCTGCAAAACGAACTGCACCACTGCAAAACAATCAAAAGATAGATAAATTCACATGATTTTTTTTTTAATTTGTTAAATTTGTTAAATAAACAAAATTGATATCAACCCAACCTAGGAGTTGTATAAATGTCTACAGCATTAGTGATGGCATTATCATCATAACTTGTCCTCGAACAGTAGCAAACTCCAGGTCGATCCAAATACTGCACCCGTAAATCAAAAAATATATAAATTTTCACAGAGCAAATGTTACACACAAATAAAAATTGTATAATATAATACTTGCCTTGCATATAATCTCTCCCTGGAATCCACCAGCAATTAATAAATTATCTTTTACTGCAAGTACTATTGAGTTTCAGTAAATCCCTCCAGAAGGCTTCCAGGGTGTTTCTGTAATATTATAATTACTTAATTACCCTAACATAAAATATAATGTAAAAAAAGAAATTAATTAATTAAAAGGGAACAAAAAGCACGCACCTCACGTGGTGCCACGTGTCCTGCTAAATTAAGAACTGATGATTTCTTACAAGTTAAGGAAGACCAACGAAGGACAGAGAAATGGGACATATAGTACACATCATGCTTTGTTGTAGCCCATACCAGGTTCCTCAACTAAATCCCAAAAAAAAAAAACATATCATAATGTAATTTAATTAAACCCAAAATAATATACTTAGGAGTTAGGGAAATAATTCAAGATCAAAAATTAAATTGTCAGCATGCCTGAAAATGAAGAATTGTCGACTTCACGGATCTTGAATTGGATCTAAATTCATAAAAGGAGCCTCCTTTGTTTGTAACTTTGCATTGCTGTTTCACAAAAAAAAAAAAAAAAAATTACGCCAAACATTCAGTATGATGATGAATGTACATAGAAGAATAACTAAATATTAATCAGTACCTTCTGTGAACTCTGTCCATAGAGGGACATTTTCGTAATTCTTGTATTGTTCTAGCCTAGTTTGTCTATACTGTTCCCTAGTAATACTGAGCCTCTCCCATGGAAACCTGAATGTCCTTCCCTTTTCTTACCTGAGCAGCATATGTATCTCCCAACTTATAATTCTGCAGCCAACTTGACATTATTAATCACTTGATTCACATTTTAAAAAAGTTATTCACATATTGCATGTTTCAATTGAAGGTCATAACACGAACCATATCATCATGTTCATCAATTTCCGAGTCTGAACCACCTAATCTCTACCATGTAACTCATCACAAATTATTTTTCTACATCTTCTGCTTCATGTTCATCAGCCATGTATTCAGCATCATTATCCAGGTCATTTGACATGATCTATCAAGAAACAACCATGGCCATAAAAGTTAGTAAAACAAAAAAGTTTCACACTTCAAAAAAGGTATAACCTACAAGCTACAACAGCCATCTAAAGATTAGACACATCACATGTCAATAATAAATCAATATGTCATGATTTGGCATTTGAAGAATCCATTCCCTGATTGTGATTTCAGAGTTGATGATCTCCCTGCAGAATATGCAGTTCCTATGGAAAGCTAGTGCCAAAGTAATATTTGGAAACAATAAATCAAATATATCATGATTTTAAATCAAAAGAATCAAACGACAAACCAATTACATCTTCAAAACCTCCTTCCCAGACTACACTACAAAGAAAAGAAATATTAAACTTCCAAACAACAGCGAACTCATACAAAAGCAAGCGGATTATCAGAACAAGCGCCTGATCAGAAAAAACCCTAATTCAAATATAACATTCATAATTACTAAAACAAAATGCGGGATTATATGCATATCGTCTCAAGAACATGCGTTTAAACAAAAAAAAATAGTACGATCAATTTCAACAACAGGAGGCAACCATTAATCACGCCAAATAACAATGGAAATCAACATACCTTCGTCATTCAGAATCAGAATCAAAACCGAAACCTAAATTCAGTAGGCATGCAATGAAAGCAATACTCGGGCAGAAAAAATGGCGAGAGATTTCTCTCGAAAGCGAAGAGACGAGAGAGGTGCCTACCTATCGGCTATCGCTATCTAGTGCTTGCCAAAACAACGTCGTAAAGGTAGATGCTGTCGAATTTGATTTCATCTTTTCATGTCGGTTATTGTATTTAGAATTTGTTCATCTAGTCCCTTGACTTTTATGTGTTTTTATAAGGGATAAACTTATTTTAATCGGGTCTAATTGGTCTTTTTTGAAGAAATGAATGGGTAAGCCGGTTACTTCTTTGTCATCTCATTTAAGTAGTCGGCGTGTAATTGTTGATTGGTCTTGTAGGATTTTTTTAATGAACTATACTGACAATACTTTATTCATCATTTCTCGTTCGACTCGACTGTATCTAATTCCTTCCTCCATTTTCTTTATTCAACTATGGTTGTCTACCTCGTTGTGGATGTGTACTTCTAAGGTATCTTTGCCAAGTACCCCATACGATCCACCGATGATATTAATTAGAGGGTTGGTGAACATTGATTTTGCAAGC